AAGGATCTGTGAGATGGTAGCTCGTCCTCCGACTAGGCCAGAATCAGCCAGTCGTCGAGGTAATTGAGAATGCAGATTCCCATCTGTCTCAGCGGGGAAAGACATTCACTTCGCAAAAGTGCGAGGAGCTAGGGAAAGTCCAAAGGGAAGGACCTTGTTGATAAGCCACTCCCTCGAAGGCGAATCTCAGAATCGTCTATGGTGGGGGGCTATCTTGGTGTGAATGTAGGCGTCTTTCAGATCCAGCAAAAAGAACCAGTCCCCTGGGCACACTTGCGAGAGGATCAATGTAATCAAATGTAATGTAAGGTTTCAATGTAATCATCCTGAACAGCCGTTTCATGAGGGCGCGGTTCAGAAGTCTTAGATTGAGGATGGGTCTTAGGCCGCCATCCTTTTTGGGGACGAGGAAGTATCGGCTGTAGAAGCCTGAGTTGCTCTGAGCCGGGGGAACCATTTCTACGGCTCCTTTTGCCAGCAAATTCATCACCTCGGCGCAGGACTTGTGTGTCTTTGCTCTGAACCGAGGTGGAAACCACGCCGCTGAAACGTGGGGGTCTTCGAGCAAATTGAAGTGTATAACCTCGTTTTATTATTTCCAAAACCCAGTCTGACACTCCGGGGATGGCCTGCCAGGCCTCGGCCCATGTAGCGAGGGGTTGGATTGTTTCAAGCAATAGACCACATTGCGGGGACCCGATGCCCGTGATAAGAGGAAGAGGATTTTTGCTCTCTTTTTGAAAATGCTTGTGTTTTATTTTTCTCGCTATAACAGCGATCAGTTGTGTGGCCACTATTTGAATGGGCCCAGAGTTCACCCCGGAACTGAACGGGGTGCTTGGTGGCACGACAGAGGCTGCTTGAGGGGGGGTCCTGCTGTAGCGAGACTTGGCCCCTTCCTCTTTCTGTCCCACAAATCAGGAAGACGCCTGAGGTGGCACTATCTTGGGCCGGGGTCCCTGCCACTTAGGAAATGGATAGCGTCTGGTTGAGCGAGAGCGATGACGGGGCTCAGGCTTAGAAGCTGATTGAGCAGCTGGAGGTGCCTTCTTGGGGTGACTGGAAGCAGTTGCAGAACTGGAGTGCTTTGGCAAGAAGTGTCGCACTGCCTGGGACAACTTCTGCACGGCAGTGAAGCGTTCAGCGAAACCCTCCAAATCCAAACAGGCCAGTGGGGGAGACCGGGGAGTCGAGGAAGGGGACCTTATCTGCATCCTTGATGCATGGCCAATGACTCATCCAGGGGAGGCAGTCTGTCTTACCCTTTTTCTTTGGCGCTGTCGACCGATGTGAGGGCGGACAAAGAAAAGGCATGTAAGCGGGCCGAGTAGGGGACGTGTCAAGATCTGGTGATCTCATCATGGACCTTTGGGAAGAATGGTGAAGCCCGTTGACGAGGGGCCTGATGGGGCCCAGCTCCTCCACAGCTTTAGACATGACGCGGAACAGTTCGGCATCCATGCCTGTGCTGGGCTGTGCAGATGGCAGGGGACGAGCCCGGCAGCTCCTCTGCATCTGAAGCAGCCAGAGACATGCTGTCATCCGTGTCATCGCACTCGCTCCCACCAAATGAGACCAGATCGCTCGCAGTCGCAGAGGGACACTGGTCCGGGTGAGTGAAGAGGACGGGAGAAACCTCTCTATGAGGAGAGAATGAGGCACGCGGGGGCTCAGCTGAGTTCCTCTTCACCGCTGCTTTTTCCTCACAGGTTCCTGGGAGGAAGGAAGCGGGAGGGCGCGAGGGGCGGAGTCACTTTCTGAAAAGAAAGCTAACCTCGAGTGCAGAGAGGCGAGACTCATATCCTCGCAATGAGGACATTCCGTCTCAGTGGCGCCCAAGCATGAAACATACTCGCCGTGTTTGTCAGTGACAATAAAGGAGCGGCATTTGTAACATCGCCGAGAAAATTTGCTCTTAGAAATTTGCTCTAATAGAGAACTCGCCGGATGGCGGCAGGGGACCGGAAGACTGCAGCTGCTGCAGATGCTGAAGGTGGCTGAGGAGCGGCGAAGTCAGCTGAGCAGGAAGGGGTCTAGATCCGCTGTGAGGCTTGTTTACGGTGAAGGCTTCGAGTCTCGTAGAGAGAAGATCTTGAAGTCGTCGCTGAAGGAGAAGAAATCTGAGGATCCAATGGCGAAAAGCCCAATTATATAGCCAGATGGCCCCGCCCATTCTGGCGAGCTCTGGCAGGCTTCGTTGCCATAGGCTTGTGCAGCCATTGGTTCGTTTTTAATTCACTGCACGAACCAATGACTTCAGTCATCGGAGAATAAGTAGTTTTCCCCATAGCGTCTTAAGCAAGACGCAGTACGAGTGAAGTATTGGTATGGAACTTAAATTTCCAACTTGCTTTGACTTCAAACCCACACTTATTTATTTGTTTATTTATTTTAAAATTTTTAAATGCAAAAGGTTTTCATGTAAATCTCTCACGTCATGCATGTGTGTCTGATCGTACAGGAGACTCAAATTCTGTAAACAGTGTTGAAACCACCTGTAAGTCACACTTATCCTGCTTTACAAGCTCTGATTTTGATTTGTGCATGGCTTTATTTTTCAAGTCTCTTGTAATCATTCAGTCAACAGAAGTCTTTTGCATTAAGCCCAGACCCCCTGACTGAAAACCCTGACCGCATGAAAAGAACCTAAATGATCTTTGAAATTCTGTCACCGATGCAATATTCATTGCTAAAACAAGCCAGGAACTTTTTAATGCAGCTTGATTGTTTGTAATAAGGCTTGACAACCAGATGACATAGAGAACATTGAGGAAAATAGTGAGTTGTATTAAATTTTCTCTTTTCAAAAACCACCCCAGAGGACAGGGTGCACTAATACAGTTTTTCAGTCATGGAAAATGCTAAGATTACTAAAATAGCTTGGAAAAACGTAGTCGTTCTTGAATACTTCCGAAATGTCCTGTTACACTATGGTATTCTTCAAAATTAGTTTGTAAGGAGGCTGTTTTCTAATGAAATACATTTTTTAGTGTGAACAACATAGTGTTAATATTTAATTAAATTATTGTAGATGTTTTACCAGTGTCAGATTCTGTTTCAGAGGGCTCCTAACGTATAATGTTTGATATGCAACATGATCAAAAACTGTTGTACACAATCTACATGCCTTCTGTCTTTTAATTGATTGTTTATACTTGTTTTAGTATAATTCTAAAAACGTCAGGTCATGGTGCAAATTGTCAATGATTTTTAAAAAGTATACTTAAGAATCACTTTTATATTGTTAGTATATTTCAAGATGAACACTGAAGCAACTTAGGTTTACCTGATTATCCATACACCATTTTTTATTCAAATGTAAATATCAATTATGATGGATCAGGCTTTTGAGGAACATTTCTCTCAGTCATCATTGTATTGCATTGCATTATTTGTTTTGCCCCCACAATTAAATCTAGCTTTGATCTTAAAATGAAACATTTAAATACCTTATTAAGGTATATTGTTGGGAAATATAGAGTAACAAATTACATTTATATATATTTTATGTAAGTAATTTGCTGAACTGTTATAAAGAGCTAATTACAAGCTATTATCGCTATAAAATTTAGTTGTTTTTTCACTTCATATATCAGCTCCATATTGTCCTATTATACTATATGAGCCCTGATAAAATATGATACCAACAAAAACATTTTTTAATGTATTTTTTTACATTGCAATTAATAATATGTATATTAATAAACTACATTCAATAAACAGTTCAATTTCCTGTTAAAAAAATCAAACTATTATTTGATAGGTCAGGCTTTACAGGGTTAAATTGTGAAACGGACTTGGAATCACTATTTGTCTCCTTTGACATCACAGCTCAGAAAAGTCACTAAACTATAAAACTATAGTTTTGGTCTGTGTGTTCTTGTGATGTCATCATCATGATGTCATTTTTCATGCTGTTCCAGAGTGATTGATCACATGGCAGTTCAGGTCATTTGTACAAAAACATCTGTAGTTCCATAAGCAAAGATGGCAGATTTCTGTGGTTCCTCTACCAGAAATGCTAATTCTAAATCTATTTAGTTACATAAATGTCTTGGACTATAACGTCTTGAAAATAGTGGAAACCCTGAGAGAAGTCCAAACAAGTCTGACTTTCATTTCTTGATAGTCTGCTCCAGTCGTGATGTGATTGAATGAGAGATACTCAATGTCATGCATTGTTCCATGAACAACCTGCTTGAGTTAAGTTCATATTTTAATTTCTTTCTCCTCACAAATGTGTGGAAAAGCCACCTTTGAAACAGCAGTTTTTGATGGATGCTCTGGAAAGTTGGCCCTCCGGTGCTCTGGGCCGCTTGGACTTTCCATGCGCTCAGGCTTCTCGGAACCCAGAATGCTGAGACGTCAACTAAGCCCAGCTTAATGAAACAAATGCGCTTATATTTAGAACTAAAGCGCTCAATCGAACCCAATCTGCCACTTCCATTCCAATCCATCTCCAATGTTTGTTAAATAAACTACAATGAGAGAATGAATGTACTGTAAGCTTTTCCTGGCTGTGCTGCTGATCGGCAAGCTCTGCTGTTTGCTCTCATCACTAACTGCCAAGTATTTGCTTATTAACAAAACCCTGCAGAGTTTACCATTAGAAGTTTTGTTAAGTACCCCAGTCAAATAGAAAAGTGTTCATGATTACTTCAAAGCCAAAGGTCAGTCATGTGACTTTGCGGACTTGTGGACTTGCGGACTTGTGTGACACCGTGCATGAGTCTATATGTACAGCAAGAGCAGATGATGTGAATGTCTTCTGGTGTTGCTTCTTGTCTTTCAGGGTCTTTTAAAGTTACTGAAAGGTGGCAGTAGTCTAGTTTTAAAGATGACCTTAAAAGCTTGAATACACTACACGACTTTTAACTTTCAGCAACTAGCTTAAACTTCTTTAAACAGTAAATTGGCGGAAAACTGGGGCAAAATTGTGTAGTGTATTCCAGCCTTTAGTTGTCAGGCTTAAGACTGGAATTTTCAGCTTCAGATATGATTCCATCCAGTAGGAGGATATCAAACACAGTTGATATTTTGAGCCAATTTTAGAACACATATTATTTTCATTTGTCATGCATCTCCTAACAACAAGGCTCACTCCGTTGTTTAGTGTATGATGACCAGTTTTTCCTCTTTGACTAAAGTCGGTAAGTGTATGATGCCTAGTGTTTCAAAATCTGTTCTGATTGTAAAAGTTGTGTAGTGTATTCCAGCCTTTACTCGTGTAAATATATTTAATAGAAATGTATTTACCTGAAGCATGTAGAAACTCTGTCATAGGAATGTATAGTCTTCTAATAGTTCTAATTTTACATTTGTATAAAGATCTAATGTAATTTGGGTTACACTTTATTTTAAGGTGTCCCTGTTACAGTGTAATTATAGATTTAAGTACTGAGTAATAGTAATTAACTACATGTACATACTATATGGTTAGGGTTACTTGCATGTAATTATGCATAATTTATTGTTATTATAATAGTAAGTACATGTAACATGTAACAAGGACACCTTAAAATAAAGTGTTACTGTAATTTGCAGTATTAGATAATCAGTATTAAACTAATGAAGTGAATGAACACATCATCAATGAAAAAGGCATGCGGAAATTTTTTTTCTTATTGTTTTCATGTAAAAAAGTATATTTAGAGACTAATTTGAGCAAACTCAGTGTGAGGCTAATCATAATCTTGTAAAAAAACAAAACATGGTTAACTCATTTACACCTTATCATTTACAAATGAATATGACAATTGTGATATAACTGATAAAATATGAATGTTGCTTAGCACTCATCTGTTGACTTTTTATTAACAGACTCTCAGACTCAAACCTTATTTTCCCATATGAAGATATGCGGAATTATTTGAACAAGTTAAAAGTCTGTGCATGTGTTTTGTCTGTGCATTCATTTCCCTGGTGGGTTTTCTATGAAACTGCACTGCATTCTGTTCCTCAAACGCTCCGGACACAGACATTCTGGATAACAACAGACATCTGCTGGACCTAATGCTCATCCAAAACAGAGCGGGAAACACCAGACAGGACCTGACTTATGGTACACCTCTATATACATATTACATACATACCTTTTAGCTAATATGATCCAAAGTAAACAATAAATAAATACATTTGATATACTGTATATATATAATTTGTTTTTACAATTATGTTAATATGTGAAGAGTTCAGATGCAAAAGCCTGTAAGTGCCATCTGAAATTTTCATCTAAAATGAGAATTTTTATCAGCCTCCTCTGTTTAGGTTCAGTAATTTTACTCTAATGGCAATGTATAGGTAATTTTCTATGCAATTAAAGTGAAATAACTGAACATAAATATAAGGGCCTGATAAAAATTCTCATTTTAGATGAAAATTTCAGATGGCACTTAGAGGTTTTTGCATCTGAACTCTTCATGTATACTTATAAGTATAATATATAATTTCATGACTTTAACCGGTTATGAAATCTTTTCACAACAGCCCTTTTAAGGATCCCCAATCTTAAAACAGTCTTTCCCCTTCTTCTCTCAGCACATTTGGTAAATCTCTGTGTACTGATCGTCAGGGATGCATTTGGTGGGCGTCTGGGTGACATATGAAGATTGTAATGCAGTTGGTCTGTGTGAATGCGGGTGATGGAGAAGTGGAGTGTGCAGAACACATTAAGAGCAGAACAGGCTTATGTAACCAATGTGAGTCTCTCCCAGCTTTCTCGTTTTGGCAGCCCTTCTGCTGTAGAGCTGCTCCCTGACGGCACAAAATTACTCCACAGCCCACCGCAGACCTTCATACTGTACAGGAATCTCAACTATAGCATTTTTTTTAAGTCACAAGGCCATCTTGGCGCATTGCTTTTTTTTCTTCTTCCACATTTCATCCCCAAACTCCTTAATCCTCAGCTTAGTATAGTGTACACAGTTCTGCATAGTTTATTCATTATAACAATGAAATCTGTAGCTCAAAATCATTGTTTGAACTGTCAACAGTGGAGCTAAATTTAACAGTGGAAATGGCTGCAAGAGGTATTGTGTAATTCTTTGCCGTTGATTGTATTGTTCAAGAAACTTTTAACAGGAGTGTGGTTATGCTGGTCCACTTAGTTTTGGATCCATTTTTCTTAGGAACCCTTTTATTATTTTGATGTGTTTTTCTAGGACTGTTCAGAGCATACGAGGACAGCTCTCTGCACTCTGGAGAATATATAAGCATGCTGTCAAACAGCAGTAAACAGATCTCTCTGTAGGGTAATGACATCATATGTCAGTCTCATCTCAGCACATAATGTTCTCTGAACTGCAGGAAAGCCTTTTTGGCCTGGTTTTTAGGTCTCTTAATTTTCAGATTCAAATTGAACCAATCTGCATTTCTATGTAACTAAATTAAAATCTTTATGACTAATCTTAAGGTAAAAAAAAGTACTCACAAGACTAGCCTTAGCAGTTTATGCAACTGCAGCCACAGTTTATTGTTTATAGTCATGCCTTGTGAAGTCACAAAATGTGCATTGTCTTGCAAATAATACTGTATGATCTTCTAATGTTAATAATTTTGTTCCTTTTGAATTTTTTTTCTTGTAGGCAGCAAAGCACCAAAGCTCAAGGCATCAGAACACAAGCACCAACAGCTGATGTTTT